TCAAGATCCAGAAGGATCTCAACAGACTTGAACACTTAAACATATCCAACGAAATTAAATTCAGTGGTGAGAAAAGTAACACCTAGCCAAGAAAAACCATATGCACAGGTATGGAATAGGTAGTATTTGGCTCATTACCAGTATCTCTGAGAGGGAGCTAGGATAACCACTTAAATATGAGCCAGCAATATGCCACAGCTGCCAAAAAAGCTAACATGGTCCTAGGCTGCGCAGGGATAAAATTAAGATCATATGAAGTACTACTTTATAATGCCTTGGTAAGGCCACACTTGGAATGTTGCATGCAGTTTTGTCATCACGATATGAAAAAGATGTAGAAACTCTGGAAAGACTGCAGAGAAGAGCAACAAAGATGATTAGGGGACTGGAGGGTAACACATATGAAAAATGGTTGCAGGAACTGGGTATGTCTACTATAACAGAAAGAAGTCTAGGGGGTGACATGATAGCAGTGTTCCAATGTTTTAGGGATTGCCACAAAGAAAAAGGGGTCCACCTATTCTCCAAAGCACCTGAAGGCAGGACAAGAAGCAATGGATGGAAACTAATCAAGGAGAGAATCAGCCTGGAACTAAGGAGAAAATTCCTGACAATTAGAACAATTGATCAATGGAATGGCTTGCTTTCAGAAGTTGTGGGTGCTTCATCTCTGGAGTTTTTAATGAAGAGATTGGTCAGCCATTTATCTGGAATGGTAAAGCATCTCCAACTCCAAACTTCTTGTTCTGTTCTGTTAAATTCCCACTTTCCAAACATTTATGGAATTCTCATGGATGCCATTTGCCTTTGGAATTCAATTGTTTTACTGTTTTTCTTTGGTCTTGTTCTTCTCACAAATCTTCAAGATATTTGAACTGAATTTAAAATATTGAGATACATGCAATATATTTATTATTACTTAAAGATAAATAAGGGTAGCCTTTTGCACAGTCCAGACACCTTTATAGGACATAATGAATTTGATTTTTGCATAGTTTATCCCACCCAATTTGGTATGAATTACATCAAATAACATGGACTGCAACATTACAGATTTCTTTCCTGGTCTAAGTGCCAAAGCATTCTGAATAATAAGATTGAGAAGTCAATTCATGTCAAAGCCCAACCACAACTGCTGATCTTGACAGTCCCTAGAAAACATCTCAGTTCTTTTAGCATTGCTATCATGAACGTTTACTAACCTTTGGGGTTTGCTTTGATTAATTTACATACTCCATAAACAGAATTATTCTTGGTTTGGAGAATCTGAACTTGATAACCTCAACAGACAACTCTTCGGTGTCATTAGAATAAGATTCTTCATTAATCCTGTCATGTCTAACCTCTTATTTGTGAACAAGGAAGAATTGCAGCAGCTGGTATTAAAACAAATTGATTTATTTGCAAATCTCCTTATGCATATGTGTGTGTGCAGGCATGCCCTACAGCAAAGCATAGAGATAAGATCAGGTGCCTTCCTAACTGAAGGAGTGGCTAGACTGAAGCCTGTTGCCAAGTTGAGGGAAGGAGCATCTCCACACATGAAGATGAGCCTGTGGAAAAAAGTTTGCCAGAAGGAAAACAAACAGTTCTTAATGATCTGATGTCCTTACATTGCCAATCCAGTCCCAAAACTAGTGTCAACTTCGAACTGAACCTGGCAGCAGCCATTTTCCTGGTCCTCAGTTGCCACACAGAGGGGGAAGGGTGGGAAGGAGGTTGGCATGCCTTACTAGACCCAACAGAGAGTTTTCTTGTGAGAACCAAGGTCATCTCTACTGGCAATGGATAAGGTTGGGAAAGGGGTGCCTGGAGAGCCCACCAATTAACCCAATTGGCCAACATGACCTGTGACATTTAGGGATGGAGTTATTTCCTATTTTAATTATACTGAAACCATGAGAAAGATTTAGAGTTGTTTTTCCTTTGAAGCAATGCCAATATGATGTACTCAATAAAGAAGACCTTTGAGAAGGATCCCAGTCTCAGAGTTCTGATTTGCTTGGGTTCATTAGACGGAGCCTTGACACTTAGGTCATAAAATCATAGAATATAAGGGTTGGAACAGCTTTAGAGAACATCTTGTTCAATCCTACACCCAGTGCAGGAATCCATTACAGCATCACCAACTGATGACCATCCAAGCTCTCTTTAAACACCTCCATCCAAAGAAAATCCAGCTGTTTCTGAGGTAGTCTGTTCCATTGTAGAACAACTTTTACTATATACTAGGAACTTCTTCCTGAGATCTGCTTCCTTATAAACCATATGTTCTCCACATCATATTCTCCTGTGGCTTGGTCAGTCTGCCCTTGCTGCTTCTATCCCATGGATAGAGCTGTATCTCATTGAATTCTGAGTCATCTGTAAATTTAATTAGCACTCCCTCCCAATGAAACAGTAATAACAGCCCCCTACTCAATCCTTGAGGTCCCCATATCATCTCTTGATTAGGGGACTTGCTTGCAAGATTGGACTTTTGCCCATAGGAAGCTTCTGCACCACGGCTTCAAAGAGCAAACCCAGAGGAATAAAAGATCTGGAGAGGCCTAACTTGTCAGTGCAAAGATTAAGTCATCCCAGCCTGTTGATGCTTTTTCTTGAGGGAACCTGAATATTATTATCTTTTTTTTCAGGATGATCACAAAAGAACATGCTTTCCTTTTTGAACAGTCAAAAATATAATTGAAAACTTAAGGTATTTCTTAAAGAATCTGACCAAAGAATTTGCTACATTCATAAAAAGAATTGTATTCTTTCCCTCATACTGAGAAAGAGGAAAAGTGATTTTTATCTATTTTTCTTTCTAACTTAAATGTTTTAAATTATTTCCTAAATCCAGTGGGCCAACCTAAAGTAAAACTTGATTTTGTTCAGACCGGAGTCCAGGATTTTGAAGGATTCTTTACAAAGCCTTAGGAAGAACACACTTGGAATACTGCATCCAGCTCTGATCATTCACAAGTTTCTGGGCCTTTTTTCTGCTGACAAACTGCAACTCTGTGTTGCTCTCTGGGAGACTCAGATAGCCGTTTCTGCCTTTTAAGGCGTCATCAGTGAGCCACACCCACTTCTCAGATATCCTCCCTGTAAAGGTACAATGTGTCTTTTTCTTTTGCGTAGGCTTTTATGTGCATATTCTTTCTAGCCATATATATATATATATATATATATATATATATATTTGTTTTCTCAGGTTTTCGCGGGTGTTTGTATGTAGGTCTTTGGTTATTCGGGTCTTCTCCCACGTAAAATTGGAAGTGTCTTGGCGACGTTTCGACGAAGTCTCATTCGTCATCTTCAGGCTGGTGTTCTCGGCTTCGTGCTTCCAGGAGCAATGTGAGATCGCAGCTGTCTCTTCCTTTTAACTGCTAGTGGGGGTGTGAGCTGATTGGATGGGAACTTGGCTGTGTTCTGATTGGATGGAGGTGTGTTCTGATTGGTTAGGGGCTTGGCTGTGCTCTGATTGGATGGGGGGTTGGTTGTGCTCTGATTGGCTGGGGGTGTGTTCTGTTTGGGTGGGGGCTTGGTTGTGCTCAGCTTAGTCTGAGTTGCAGGGGGATTTGAGCTGGTGAGCTGCGTTGTTGTTACTTAATTTTCCTGTGGGAACCAAGGTCATTGAAAGCGGTGGCTGTTGAAGGAGGAGAGGAGCCTGCCATCCATCTTCATTGGACAATGTGACCGGTGACACCTGGGAGGGGGGATTCTACTCTTTTTAATTAGGTGAAAACTATGGGAACTGTTAAGAGTTGGTTTTCACCAGCTGTGCTGATATGATGTATCCAATAAACTTGTACTTTGAGGAATCTACCTGCCTTGGAGTCCTGTTTCGAATGGGTGCATTACTCAGAACCCTGTCAATGAGGGAGTCAAACTATTTTCCAAAGCACCAAAAGGCAGGACAAAAAATAATGGATGGAAGCTAACCAAGGAGAGAAGCAATCTAGAACCAAGGAGAAACTTCCTAACAATGAGAACAATTAACCAGTGGAATGGCTTGTCTTCAGAAGTTGTGGGTGCTCCACCACTGGAAACTTTCAAAAACAGACTGGACAACCATTTGTTTGGAGTGGTGTAGGGTAGTGGTGTCAAACTCGATTTCATTGAGTTGTGTTTGACCTTGGAGGCCAGGATGGGTGTGGCCAACTCAACATCACTCGTGTCGGGGACGCCTATGGTGGCCCGAGCATTCTGCCAGCAAAAACGGGCTCCCGAGCTCCATTTTTGGCTGCGATGGCCTCCTACAACCCTCTGCCAGCGAACACAGAGCTCAGGAGGGCCACACACAGCCTCCTGAGCTCTGTTTTCACTGGCAGAGGCATCACAGGCCGGTCCTTCACTGTTTCCAGGGCAGTCCCACAGGCCAGATCTAAGCGCCCCAAGGGCCAGATCTGGCCCCCGGGCCTTGAGTTTGACACCCTAGGGTAGGGTAGGGTCTCCTGCTAGAGCATGAGTTTGGACTAGAAGACCTCCAAGGTCCCTTCCAACTCTATTATTATTCTATTCTTTTGATCCAAGATAACTCTTGCTCCTCCTCCTCATTGAACATGTCTCTTTCCTTCTCTTTTCTCTCCCTTTTCACTCAGCCTGCTTTCATTGTGCCCAGGCCAAAAGAAACATATTTCTCCACTTATGCAAATTGTTCCACAGGAACATCTTGTTTTCACATTTTTACCCTAATTCCAAACTCTCCCAGTGTCTTTCTCAGTCCTACAGCAGGTAACATTTCCTCCCAGATCTTCTGATGACCTTTTTTCCACTTGCCATGGGAGACCACTAGACATTAAAGAGCTGTAGGAAATTTAAAAAACAGCCCAGAAGGCAATAAAGGCAAACAATCCCCCAAATATTCCAGTTTTTAAGAAATTTGCCTTTCAGGACATCAGATCAAGTCTCACAGTTCAACGCATGGATATATTTCTCTACCTATCTGCAATCTACAGACCCATCCGGAAGTGAATATTTCTAGCTGTCAAGAAAATCACACACCAGATAAAAAGTTATCAATTCATAACATTTTATTTCTTTACTGGGTTAAACAGGAGCAGAGTAGTTCCCTGATCCAAAATACAACAGAACTGAAAGCATTACAGGTACAGAGACTATTGAAACACAGAGAGTAATAGGATAATAATAATAGTTTAATACAACTGAATTATAGCATGATTTTTATCATTTCCCCCCTCCTTTTTTGTTTGTTTTTTTGTTTGTTTGTTTTTTTTGTCAAACCATCTTGGAAAACAAATGTAATAGGAACTAGTGCAAAAAAGTTCTAAACATGAAGCACAGTGTATAAAATGACCTAAGAAAAGTGCTCCCTCAAAGAGCACAGCCATTTTCTTATGACAGGAGAGGAAGAAAAGGGAGGACAGAGGGCCAGTGGGGAAGAGGGCCTGAGGGGAGAAGGAGGCTGGAGAGAGAAACAAGGCCATGAGGGAACAAAAGAGTTTTAAGGTTGAGTTCAGCAACACGTCTTGTAGTTTTCCAAACATCTCAATCATGTTCTGCAAAAAGCTCCTTGCCATCGCAGCCCAGGGGTTCCTCTCTGTGGCAGAAGCAGACCGACAATTCGTGTGGTGGTCTGCCTTGATACCCTTCCCTCTCTGGCCGGCTCCCCTTTGGGTGGCATAGCCTCTTTTATTCCAAGGAAGGCCCTCAAGGGGATCTTAATAAACAAACAATAGCATGAAGAGGAAAGAGGAGCTTCCCCCTCCTGGTCTTCAGGTCCCCCCCCCAGCACCCCAATTCCATAGACCTGGCTTCCTGCCCAAACAGAAAAACCTCACAACAGAAAGGGCTCCTTCAACCCAGGAGACAGCAATGGCCAAAGGGAAAAGAGGAATAACCCTACCTGTGAAATGAGATGTTAGAATGGGTTAGAAATTATGTCTTCCTGGACCATTTCCTTTCCTACCTGCTATTCTAACAGCCCAAAGTCCCAAAGGTGCTTTTTCTAAAGGCAACTGGACTTTCTTGGTTTTATCCTTGAAGATGTTTTGCTTCTCCTCCAAGAAGCCTCTTTAGAACTGAAGAAGCTCCTTGGACGAGAAGCGAAACATCTTCAAGGACAAAACCAAGAAAGTCCAGTTGCCTTTTGAAAAAGCACCTTCGGGACAACTATGGCCTGGATGACCGAGAATCCCCACAGACACCTACAGCCCAAAGACCCTGACATTTGCAGTTCGTAAAGCACATCTAGGGTATGTTATTATTTTGTACCGTGTAGGATTTGAAAACCAACCTGGCTGGATATTGGAGGCTTTGCCAAATCTGCCTTGAAAAGTAGTTTTCTGGCCACAAAAAGAACAGAAGCATATTCTCAGGTCTACCCTGAATTTTAAATGCACATTTGAATTTCAAAACATTTGTTTTAGAAAAGCAAGAAACAGTGGGGGGGTGCATTAATGATTATGGGGATCACATCCTCTGAGTTAGGTGCATGCACCCTCATTTAGTACAGTTGGGGAGAAAAGCTGACATTCTGATATTCCTCCACCCACTTTTACTTTTAAGAATTTGCATATTGGGGGTCACAGTTATCCTCTAGGACAGGTGCCTCCAACCTTGGCAACTTTAAACCTGGCTGGGGAATTCTGGAAATTGAAGTCCGGCAGGCTTAAAGTTGCCAAAGTTGGAGACCCCTGCTCTAGGAAGCAGTTCCCAGAAGCTGCCTGTGCTTTGCTTGTTAGAGCTGTTAACTACTCTACCAAGAGTTATCATTGGCAGGAATGCAAAGATGTGGCTATTTGGCAGGCTTAACCATGTAAGTATGTGTAGAATCTGGATGTTTGTCTGGTCAGCAGCATGGACCCTGAATCTGGGAAGATGTGTTCAGAAATTATGCTGGAATTTTGTGCTCTAGGAAGTAATACAGAATCAGGACAAAACCAGATGTGCAGAGTTAAAGGGAAAACCACAGAAGCTGCAAAATCAGGGATTGTGGCATTAGAGCTGAAGGACTGGGCTGTCCGTAATATCAGAAATCTCAGGTGCTCGAGCAACTTGGTCTCTTGATAGGTTTATGAAATGCTATCCTCTAAGAATGCAATGAGAACAGGTGGCTGTTTAATCAAAAGCAAGCTTTATGGAGTCTGATATGTTTGGTCTCGTGCAATGGCACAGTTAATGGCCATGTAATAAATAAGATTTCCAGATGCTCTCTGTAAATTCTATCTCGAATGCACGTCCCTCTCTATTCAAGAAAGGTCTTCTCTGATATACACTCAAATATGATCAGACTTTCCATTTTCATCATTGTTCAAAGACCGCAGCATTGATAGCCCTTGCCTCCTCCAAGGTTAAGAAAATATTTGGAAAGGTAAACAAAATTGGAAGCTGTGAACAGAAACATTTCCTAAGGGATCTTAAAGATGGAGAAAACATGTATTTGTGAAGGAAGTAGAAAGATGGATCCTTTTGCTCAAACCCCTAAAACAGGGCCTCCTGAAGTTATCCTTATGTTATACTGTCGAAAAAAGAAAGGTGGATGGGACCAGGTGCCAACTTCTCAGTAAATCTTTCCATCAATTCTCATCTGAGAAAAATAATTGTTCAGATCACATGGCAGAGTTATATACTGTGGCTGAAGGCTGAAATAAATATTTTTGTTTCCTGACCATCCCCTATTTCTAATTTATTTTGAAAGCAAAATGGAACTATGGTTAATGCAATAAAGGAATAAATCTCTAACTTGTCTACATAAGCCCCAGTTTTTTTTACAGAAAGGGCGCCATTTCTTGAGCATGGCAAATCTTTTCCATATTGCTCTTTGCACACTTTGCACATAGAACAATAGGATTCGAAGGGACCTTGGAGGTCTTCCAGTCCAACCTCCTGCTCAGTAGGAGAGTCTATACTATTCCAAACAAATGGCTGTCCAGTCTCTTCTTGAAAACCTCCAAAGATGGAGCACCCACCACTTCTGGGGGGAAGTGGTTCCATGATTAACTGTTCTCTGTCAAGAAATTTCTGCTTATTGCTAGGTTGGATCGCTTTTTAATGATCTGCCACCCATTTCTGCTTCTTCTGCCCTTTGACCTATTTGGAGAATAGGTCAAACTCCTTTTCCCTGTAACAGGCCCTGTTAAGTACTGGAAGCCAGCTATCATGTCACCCGTAGTCCTTCTCTTTGTTAAGAGTAGGCATACCTACTACCATTATCATACATTTTAGCTTCCACACCCCTTACCATCTTTGCTGCTTTTCCCTGCTCCCTTCCTAGGCTTTCAACATCTTTTTATATCATAGTGACCAGACCTGGGTGCAGTACTCCAAGTGTAGTCTCAGCAATGCAATATAAAGTGGTACTATCACTTCACATGAACTTGTTACTATCCCTCTATTGATGCAACCTAGGACTGTGTTGGCTTTTTGGGCAGCTGCAGCACACGGCTGGCTCATACCTAAGTGATGGTCCACCATGACCCTTAGGTCCCTCTCACAGTTACTTGAGCCAGGAACCACCTATGCTATACCTGTGCATTTTTCTTGCCTAAGCATAAAACTTTACTGAATTGCATTTTGTTGGATAGGACTTTGATGACTTTAAATCTTCTCACACTTAATGAATACAGGTAGTCCTCAATTTACAACAATTCACTTAGTGACAGAAGTTACAATGGCACTGAAAAAAGTGACTTACGACCATTTTTCACACTTATGACGGTTGCAGCATCTCCATAGTCACATGATTTACATTCAGATGCTTGACAACTGATTCACATTTATGACGGTTGCAGTGTTCTGGGGTCTCCTTTTGTGACCTTCTGACAAGCGAAGTCAATGGGGAAACCAGATTCACTTAACAACCTTGTTACTAATTTAACAATTGCAGTGATTCACTTAACAAATGTGGCAAGGAAAGTTGTAAAATGGGATAAACTCACTTAGCAAATGTTTCACTTAGCAACATAAATTTTGGGCTCAATTGTAGTTGTAACTCGGAGGACTACCTGTACTTTAAATTTTTATGTCACTTTATTTAACTTGCTTTGAAAACCTGAGTCTGAAGAAATGTGTTGTGTACACATGGGGATGTGTGAGACAACAAAGAGCCTGAAAGCAATAACAAAAGACTATGTGTATCTAGGCATGAAATCCAACAAAATGGGAGCACAGGTCGTATTTTCATCTGTACTTCTAATGGAAGGCCAACATCCAATGAGGAAGTGCAGGATTTTAGAAGTACAGTAGTGGCCAAAATTGTGGAAACCTTTTGGGAAAAGTGTATTTTGGAGGTTTGATGGCTAATAACACCACTTTTTTGGGGAGTTTCAAGATAATCCTATTCCATTGCTGGAATGGCCTGGGAATAGCCCAGACCTTAACCCAATTGAAAATCTATGGAGCTGACTAAAGAAACTTGTTAGTCAGAAGCGACCCATCAATAAAACCCAGTTAATAGAAGCAATCATTCAATCTTGGTTTCACATTATAACAGCTGCAGAACTAAAAGACTTTGTTCACTCCATGGGAACAGAGCCGAGGTGGCGCAGTGGTTAGAGTGCAGTACTGCAGCTACTTCAGCTGACTGCTGATTGCTAGTTCAGCAGATCAGCAGATCAAATCTCACCGGCTCAAGGTTGACTCAGCCTTCCATCCTTCCAAGGTGGGTAAAATGAGGACTCAGATTGTTGGGGGCAATATGCTAATGCTAATGCAATATGCTAATATGCAATATGCTATATGCTAACTTTGTAAACCACTTAGAGAGGGCTGTAAAGCACTATGAAGCGGTATAGAAGTCTAAATAATAATAATTTAAAGAAAGATGTTGTAAGGCCATAATTCATGCTAAAGGTTACCCAACTAAGTATTAACTGACGTGATAATTTTTGTATATCTCATTTTTTCTATGGTGATAATTTTTGTATATCTCATTTTTTCTACGTTTCACTTTGTTTCTTTATACTGTTACTGCTATTCTAATAACAAATTCTTCATAAAAGTTATTCCATTACATTCAGTGGTGGGTTTCAAAAATTTTTACTACCGGTTCTGTGGTGTGGCATGGCTTGGTGGGTGTGGCTTGGTGGGCGTGGCAGGGGAAGGATACTGTAAAATCTCCATTCCCACCTCACTCCAGGGGAAGGATACTGCAAAATCCCCATTTCCTCCCGATCAGCTGGGACTTGGGAGGCAGAGAATAGATGGGGGTGGGGCCAGTCAGAATTTTTACTACCGGTTCTCCGAACTACTCAAAATTTCTGCTACCAGTTCTCCAGAACTGGTCAGAACCTGCTGAAACCCACTTCTGATTACATTCTTAATTAAATTATCTTTCCATTGATACATAATTTTATGGTACTACTCCAAAAAAAAAGTGGTGTTATTAGCTAGTTTTAGAAAATAGACTTTTTCCAAAAGGTTTCCACAATTTTGGCCACTACTGTAAATCACTGACTTCAATGATGATGCCATTGAAAGAGGATTTCTGGACCACGGTCTAAATTATGTACATGGAGAGTTTCTGGCAGGGGATAGACTACACCTCACAAGAACCAGGAAGAAAATAAGTGGCTGAGCTTATCTGAATAACTGATGGGATGTCACAGAGAAGAGGTGTTCAACCCATTCTCCAAAGCACCTGAGGCAGGACAAGAAATAACAGGTGGAAGATCCTTAAGGGACATCCAACATAGAATTAAGCAGAAATTTCTTGACAGTGAGAACAATTAATCAGTAGAATGCTTACCTCCAGAAGTTGTGGGTGCTCCATCAACAGAGCTTTTCAAGAAGAGATTAGGCAAACGTTTGTCAGGAATGGTATAGAATTTTCTGATCAAGCAGGGGGTTGGATTAGAAGTCCTCCAAGATCCCTTCCATCCTATGATTCTATGTTCTATAATAATTTGGGTGTTCTAAAATGCAAAATGGCAATTTATTCAATTAAAACATCTTCTGATTTCTCAATTTGGTCTGACTAACCTTAGGAACTTTTGAAACTACAAAAACACAGAATGTTTGAATGTTTTAAAGAACGATCGGTGTCCAATGCTTCTATGCCACTTAAAAGAGTTTTAATATGTGGCGTAGAAGCCTTTTAAATAAACACATTTGGATCTGTTCTATGGATTTATCAAATCTGCCAGTCTGATTCTCAGATGGCCTCAAACAAAATCCTACAGGATCATTATTTCTGAGGGAGCACCTATCAACAGGAGTTATTTTCACAGGACATCATAGACCAGTATTTCTCAACCTTGGAAGCTTGAAGATGGGTGGACTTCAACTTCCAGAATCCCTCAGCCAGCGCTGCTGGTTGGGGGATTCTGGGAGTTGAAGTCCACCCATCTTCAAGCTTCCAAGGTTGAGAAACACTGTCTTAGATATTACCTACAACCTTGTGTCTCAACCTTGACAACTTTAAGATGTGTGGACTGGGGGATTCTGGGAGTTGAAGTCCACCCATCTTCAAGCTTCCACGGTTGAGAAACACTGTCTTAGACATTACCTACAACCTTGTGTCTCAACCTTGACAACTTTTAAGATGTGTGGACTTCAATTCCCAGAATTTAACAGGATTCACAAGACCCAGAACATTCTCTTCCCAGGGCATATGCTCCATATGATCCTCTTGCACTATTTGTGAGTCTGGCGCCCAACAAACAGGAGCCACAAGCAAATATCAAATGTTTTCACTCCCCCATTCAATCTTTCTTGTTCCTGTACTTGTTCTTTTAAAACTTTCTGCCTGGAGTCTCCAAAATGCTGCTTGCAAATCCATGTCAGGAGACACTTTCCGTGGCACCCACCAGGAGGGGGCGACAGTAACCAGCTGATAAATTGGTGCTTTATATTTGGTCTCAGATGCAACTATTTTGAGACTGAGCCGCCTCTCCCCAAAACCAATCATTTCACCTAAAATGTTTTTTTTTTAATTCCAGTTGCGTCCACCAGGCCAAAAACTCTGATGATCCTTGACAAGGGTCATTTCCGTACAAACTTTCTCCACCTAAAAATCTATGGGGGGAGTAATCTATATAGAAAATGGTGTGTAAATTGTGTAGAATCAAAACCTTTCTTTTCTCATTCAGAACAAACTGTGTAGAGTAGATTATCTCCTATCAAACGTCAGCAATTGCAAGAATCTGAGCTCAACAGGCTGCGCATTCCTCCTGCTGCAGAAAGTCTGCACTGCCCACCTCCGAACACTTCAGGTTCCCTAGTTGCCCTCTCTGCCTTTCTCTGTAGGAGCCTGGTCCCCCCACCCTCCCACTGCCCCAGTATATTTGGTGCTGCCACAGAAGTAGTTGCAACTCATCCAGTAAAAGAAAATTGGTGGTTCCTTTATTTCGAATCCAAGCTGACAGCAAAGTTTTGTACCGGTAGTTCCTGATTAATGGCCAGTTTTACTCAAGCATACTTTGTTGGGGTGATCTCTCCCTGTAGCTGGAGGGGTGCGGGAAGGGCAGGCCATCGTATTTCAGGCTTCCTAACCATGTGCTGACTGCTTTAATGCTTTTCAGACAGCTGAATCTGTCTTTTCCAAACTACAGAGTCTTTTCCAAACTACAGTAACTGAAGTAGAATGTATCCTGTTTAGAAGAGAAGGATCAACCAAGTCTGGGAAATGGCTCCTAATATGTTTAAGTAGCATCTACGTAGCTGTAAAAGTTCAGAAATTTCCTTTCAGAAATGGAAAGCCCACTTCACGAAGAACAGAAAGGGGCACAGACTTTGGCACAGAAAGTAGGTGATAAGAGATGCAAATAAAATGGTAATAATTGAAGAGCATGTGGCAAAAAATACTAAAGGAAAACAGTAAGAACTTATGTTCAAAGTCAAAAACTGGCCAGAGAACCATTTGGGCCACTGGGTCAAGTAGTAAAAAGAGACACTATGGAATGATGCAGTTTGCAAAGAAACTAGATGAATCTGCTTTTATATTAACGTCATATGAACCTGTATTGCTGTGGTGGCACAATGGTTAGAATGCAGTACTGCAGGCTACTTCTGCTCACTGCCGACTGCCAGCAGTTTGGCAGTTCAATTCTCACTCACTCAAGGTTGGCTCAGCCTTCCATCCTTCTGAGTCATTAAACTGAGGACCCAGATTGTTGGGGGCAAGATGCTGACTCTGTAAACCACTTAGAGAGAGCTGCAAAGCACTATGAAGCGGTATATGAAGAGGACCCGGATTGTGGGGGCAATAAGCTGACTTTGTATAAAAAGAACACTGCTTGGGGGCGGGGCAAAAAAGCCCTACTAAGCAGGTATATACAAAAAGTATGAAGGCTATTGCTTAATGCATTGTAAGCCGCCCTGAGTCTCCGGAGAAGGGCGGCATATAAATCGAACTAATAAATAATAATAAATAAATATAAGTCTAAGTGCTATTGCTAGTGTCTTTCTCAAGGAGGCAATGAGAAGTATGCAAGTAAACAGTGATAATAATATTTTCCAGATGTCTTTAGAAACTACCCAGCAACAAATTGCCAGTTGGATGTGATCCAATTCTTAAATAATTCAAAGTCTGATGATTTAACAAAAATAAAGAATAATGTCCTTCAAACTGGATGCACGTTTTAGAAAGGAGACCCAGGAAAATATAGACAAATCAAATGTCTGTTCCAGATAAATTGGTGAAATTCTGATTACATTAAAAAAAAACTACTCTAAACACAGAAGCTCTGCTGAAGGAAAATCACCATGTCTTCCATAAAGATTAATCCTCCCTCTCCAATCTTTCAAATTCCACGTCAAGATCACGTGAAGTGTTAGTACCACTTTATATGGTCTTGCTAAGGCCACACTTGGAATACTGCATTTTGGTTGCCATGATGTAAAAAAGATATGGAGACTCTGGACAGAGTGCAGAGAAGAGCAACAGAGATTAGGAGATTGGAAGCTAAATCATATAAAGAACAGTTGCTGGAATTGGGTATGTCTAGTTTAATGAAAAGAAGGACTAGGAGTGATAACAGTGTTCCAATATTTGAGGGGCTGCCACAAAGAAGAGGGTTCAACCTATTTTCCAAAGCATCAGAAAACAAGAAGCAATGGATGGAAATTAATCAAGGAGAGAAGTAACCTAGAATTAAGGAGAAATTTTCTGACAGAACAACTTGCCTCCAGAAATTGTGGGTGTTCCAACATCGGAATTTTTAAAGAGACTGGACCACCATTTCTCTAAATGGCATAGGGTCTCCTGCTTGAGCAGGGGGTTGGACTAGAAGACCTCCAAGGTCCCTTCCAACTCTGTTATTCTGTTAAGAGGCATGTGTTCATCAAAGACTCTTAAGTAACCTTGACAACCATGGGATAAGAGGATGTGTCCCTGTATAGATTGTTGATAAAATAAACACAAAGCAAAGAGTAAGATAAGTGGGCAATTTTCTCAATGGAGAAGTGTAATTCCTAAGGATCTATTTTGGAACATTGTGATGGTCAGTAATCTGGATAATTTAAAGAGGTATTGGTTAAATGCATGGAGGATAGCTCTATCAAGTGTCCTTTAATCATGTAAACTCAATATTACCTCCAGACTAGGGCCAGTATTACCTCCAGACTAGGGCCTAAACCAGTTGGAGGGAAACAGAGGCAGGAGAGAAGTAGGACCAACTCCCCTCCAGGCAAGCACATCATTAGCTGCTGTGAGAAGCCGTATGCTAATTAAGATGGGTTTTGCTCAGATCCAGCTCATGTTCCTGTTATGATTGCTCAATTATCTTACGCTACTTTTCAGAATCGTATTACTCTGTTTAATTCAATTTAAAAAAAAGAAAAAACACCCTCCTCTGCCCAATTTAGCCAAGAGAATTTATAATAACCATCCAGGAATGTGAAAAGCAATGACAATCTTTTGGGGTCCAATTCAGAATAATCAGCAATAGAAACTGTTGTTGGAATCAGTAACACAAGTGCAGCAATATTTCTTCCATTTTGCTTTCATCCAATAATACTCAATGGGTTCAGTTCCGTTGGTTCAATCAACCAGAGGCTGCTTAAGCTAACCCTGAATTAAGTGGGTTTTCTATGGCATTCATTGCATTATTTACCCCCACCTATAAAGAGATCAACGGTCCATCCACCAATTCCTAAGACAGGGAGGGGGGTAGTTTCTTATGAGTCCCAGGTGATTAAAGGTAACACAAAGGCTGAGTCTTTGATTGTAAATCAATAGTGAATATACTATTGAATCCTGTTCTACTGTTGAGTCTTTTCATTCAGGCAACCTGTTGGCCCTTTCCATCATGAATGGCAAAGGAAGTCATTGCAAAGGATGAAGCCCTGCATTGCTTCAGTATGGGAATTTTATTTTCCGTATGTCTTAAATAGGATTGAAAACTATGCCTTCTTTTGATCTCACTGTGCTCTGCCACCATGATGCAACATATAGTTTCAAAAATAAAAGATGTCTTATCATGAACTGGACTGCATATTTTAAAGGATAGCCAATTCTTATAGAAATTATGTCACCAAGAAGGATCAAAGCAGGTGGAGGGGGGACACCTCTGCAAGGACCAGGTGCAGGCACTTCAATCCCTGGCACCTCGTTACAGGCTTGGGAGTAGACCTTACCTGGAGATCCTCTGGAAAGCATACACTGGTTTGGAGTGATCAATCTCACCCCTTTCATATCATCACTATTCCTCTTCCTCCTGCTCCTCCTCAAAAGAGGCAAATTTAATCTGAGAGCAAGAGAGAGCAAAGGGGGAGTTTATACTTGAGGCAGATGTACTGTGTGGATTGGATCAAGATGCACTTTTGTTTTCATGTTGCATAGTATCCAGTGGGGTTAAGAAGACGACTCTCTTTGGGCATTCAGGACTTTGATCATAAATTTGAGATGGATGAGTATCTCCCGGAAGGTTCTAAAGCTCAGACCGCAGAATAACCCAACATGTCGGTTCCCTCTTTGATAATGAATTGAATGAATAGTTAACAATATAGCCTTCCTGTGATTTGCTATGATTATTCAATTCCAACCACGCAGAAAGTAGCTTTTCTTTGAGGAGGAAGGAATGTGGCCCAACATATCACCAGAGAGCACAAAAATCCATAATGAATGTGATTTCTGGAATTATTCCACTTCAAGATTTGTCAGACGTTACGGAGAAGCCAAGAACAAGGGTTAATTTTTTTACGACCTAAGTGTCTCTAAATGAGTCTATTTTAGAAGAACACAAATCACCTATGGGATTCTTGCTGCTCTCAGAGTCTAGTTGCTTTCTTGCAGACTGATATCAGTGCACTGATGATGTCACTTAGTTTAGTAATGAAATGTCTGCCAGAAAACCACCAAGGTCAGAGAGCACCAAGGACCCCACAGTTCCATCCTTAGCTGCAAGTATTCTCTTCTATTGGTACAAATCACATCCTTAGAGCTGCTCACTTTTCTCCCTCTTGTTTATACCCCTCATTGTTGTCACAAATTCTTCTTTCTCAGTGATGATATGTAACACACCAACTGCTGCTGATGGAGAATAGTCTTTTTGACGCTATCCACGTTTCTGAGAGTGAGGGCCTTCGTGAGAGGTTTGAGAAAAAAAATGGTTCTTTAATGTAAGATTAAAGAGACAGAGAGAGACAGAGAGATATTTCCTTGTCAAGAGTCTCTTTGGAGTCTCCCTTTTTCCTTGAATGAAAATTTAACATTCAGATAGAGAATTTTTGGGTATCAGAAACAGCCTGCCTGCATTGTGTCTGCATAGAACCATTTTTCCCATGGGCATAGGCGGGGGAGAGAGAGCAAATTCAAATTGAAGAAAGAATGTGGACCCAAACCTGGTAGTGTTTTGGTAGAGGGTTAATTGAGCCAAGAATAAGGACATGCCTTTGGTTTCTGTAAAGAATCAGGAACTGGACTGGACTCGAGTCAGTTAATGAGAATATATGAAGAGCCAAGCCAAGCCTATCAATTGCCCCCCCAAAAAACCCTGCATCTGGGCTGGTATTTCTCACAGGAAATATTCAGAGGTGTTTGCTTGGACGTTCTGGCTCAACTTGGAATCAATCGACTATAATCTTTTTGTGGGGGTGCTAGAAACAGGGAGACGGGCATTTCTAACTTCCTACCCTTGTGCGAAAGACAGCATGTCTACCTCTTAGAGTACGGGTGGGGAACCATGGCCCTTTTATGACTTGGGGACTTCAACTCCCAGAATTCCTGAGCCAGCATGGCAGATAATCCCCCTTCCCCTGCAAAACTATAACGCTGTAACTCAACGAAAAAGAACAGAAAAGGAACGGCTTCTATTGGCCTATTCTCAACGAATCTAAGATGCCCCTCCAATTTTGAAAGTAATCCCTTTGGAGAAAAGCCTAATCTTTCTTTCAGGCAAATACAGTATTTCATGTGTTTGAGGACATCTTACAGAGATGATAGGCAGACAGTGAAGGAATTCAGCCCTTCTGGGAACATGGGACTCCAGACTGCACAAGCTGCTGTTGACTTCTCCTGGGCCCTGGCCTGGGAAGGTCCCTTCAGCACTTCTTGCAGCTCTTGGTCAGAGAAAGGGGGGAAGGGGCCAGAGAGGTCTAAGAAACAGGGAAGGGAGGAACCCTGTCATCACCCCTGGGTTGTCTGGGATGGGCCTCGTGTAGGACTTGGATCTTGGGCAAGCTACTTCTGCCACTGCCACAGGCCAGTTACTCACTCCGGAGGGGAAACATCCCGGCCAGGAACCTTACCCAGGATACGTGGTGGCAGAAGCAGCGGGGGTCACTCCCGGGAGCCTCGCACTGGCCTTTGCAGACGACCACCTGCTCCCCCTTCCCCTCAGCCCCTTCCCTGCCTGGCTTCTGCAGCTTCAGGCCAGGAACTCATGGAGCCCTCCTGGAGGCTGTGTTTCCACACAAGCCGTCTGGGCATCCCAGGGCGGGCCCTTGCGAGGAGTTGCTCTTGGTGGGGGGTTTCCACGTGGGGGTGGGTCTGTGCATGGCATGTCACCCAACCGGTGCCCCCAAAAGAGGTATAAGGAATGCCCCCTCCCCTCCCCCGCAGGCGCCTTTCCCGCCCTTTCTTTTTGCCTGAGGAGCTGCCCTCGCGCTCGGTCACTCGTCTCTGGCGATGCTCTCCTCCACGGCGGGAAGGACCTCCAAGCTCAAGCCTTCACTGCTGTGCACACCAGAGAAGGACACCATGGTGTGCAGGAGCATAAGGACCAGGACGCAGAGCCGGATTTTGCTGTGGCTGAGGCGAGACCCTGCAGAGACCGGCAGCAGAGACGGGGGAGGGTACTGGTGGTGATGGTAATACAGGTGATAGTGCTGCTTCTGTTCCTTCTGCTGCTTTTCCTTCTGCTGCCGTTGCCGCTGCTCTTGCTGGTGATGGGGGTCTTCATGGCGGGGGCTGTGGAATGACTCCGACTCGGTGGATTTGGTGGAGGTGTTGTAGCTGCGGTCCGGTTGGGGATCACAGGAGTCCCACTGCACGTCACAGCACTTCGCTTCCGGGTCAGGCAGCTGGTTCTCCAACAACCCTGGAAATACAATGGCACAATAATTGTCTGTGGAATAGCCCTAGCCCTTAGACCAGTGTTTCTCAACCTTGGTAGCTTGAAGATGGGTGGACTTCAACTCCCAGAATCCCCCAGTCTGCAGCAGCCAAAATGTCCATTAGAGAACTATGAGGATAGAATATTACAGGTGTTTCCTAAGTGACTCCTAAATATCTCTAGAATACAGGTAGTCCTTGACTTACACTGACTTAGTGAACTTTCAAAGTTACAACGGCACTGAAAAAAGTGACTTATGACCGTTTTTCATACTTACGACGGCTGCGGTATCCACAGGCATGGGATCAAAAATCGGCTGCTTAGCAACTGACTCATATTTATGACGGTTGCAGTGTCACGAGGTCACGTGATCCCCTTTTGTGACCTTCTGATGAGCAAAGTCAATGAGGGGAAGCCAGATTCACTTAACAATCGTGTCACTAACTTAACCACTGCAGTGATTCACTTAACAACTGTGGCAAAAAAGGTTGTAAAATGGATGTCAGGGTGGCAATTAATCCCATTCTGCTTTTGGGTAATTGCACCTTGATTTAGAGAATGGATTGAGGCTTTTCCCTTGAAGTATACTTAAGAAAATAAACCCGAAGATATAGTTTCTAAGAAAAACTCATTTATTTGTTATAAAGAAAATAAAACATCTTACTAGCTAATTAATTACATCTTGGCAAAGTTTTCCCGGCCACCTCTCCTGATCGGAGAACAAAGAAAGATTAGAAGAAAGTGAAAGAATGTGGACATGCGCAGTTAGCTTAGAGATAAGAACTTGGCAAACTACGGTAAATCTGAAAGTTCAGAAATAAGAGCTCATCTGGTAAATACAAAAACGCAGTGACAATGGAGCAAATCTCTCTTAACAAACTTCTCACTTAGCAAACATAGATGTTGGGCTCAGTTGGGATTGTAAATCAAGGACTATCTATATGACATTCACTGCAGGGGCTGTTGGATTTATCCCGTTTACCCTGCTCTTAAAGAAACTGTCTCTATGAGATTAAACCAAGTGATCCAATTTGGATTTAGGGGGCTATTATCCAAAACACTGACTGAGCTGGGGGGGCGGGCTGTGTTCAAAAGAGGAAAAGCGCGGGGGGGGGATGCTGGAATAATAAGGTAAATAAAGGAGTGGATAAAAAGCCAGTACAAGCTTGCCATCTGCTTCCAAGGAAAAGGAACACAGAGCATAAACCGGAGAGCCCGTTTTTCTTTGTACTGCCCGCATGCTGGGTTCATTAATTTGGGCCACTGTTTCCAAATCTGCTTTATTGCACTCCCTCCCTCTCACGCCCGTTTTGTCAGCAACTGGGAAATCTGAAATGAAATGAAATGAAAAGCAAGGTGCTCCTTCAAAGTATGGACACTCGTCAACATACGGACATTGTCCAATACAGACTTACAACAGTTCATTCAGTGACCGTTCGAAGTTACAACGGCACTGAAAAAATGACTTCTGACTGTTCCTCACCCTTACAACCATTGCAGCCACCCCGTGGTCACGTGGTCAAAATTCAGACGCTTGGCAACTGACTCATAATTATGACGCTTGCAGTGCCTCGGGGTCCTATGGCCACCTTCTGCAGCCTTCTGACAAGAAAAGCCAATGGGAAGCCAGATTCACTTAATAACTGTGTTACTAACGTAACAACTGAAATACTTCACTTAACAACTGTGGCAAGAAAGGTTGTAAAATCAACCTTTCAAAAGAGTTGAAGGGTCAAAACTCACTTAACAACTGTCTTGCTTAGCAAGACTCAGTTGTGGTCATAAGTCGAGTTACGATGGTAATGGAGCCTGCTGCCATCCATACTGTTGAAAGTCGGGATGATGGTTGAGTGAATGGGTTCTTCTGGCCACTAGAGATTACCTGAGCTCCCCCAGGTTAGCAGTGCCAGTGTAAAGCAAGCACATTTCATGCTGGGGAGGCCAAGGCCAGAGGGAGGCAGGAGAACCAGAAGGACGCCTTCGTCCCCTCCTTGGGATTAGCCTGAGCATCCCCAGCATAAGCAGCGCTAGCAGGAAGCTAAGACGAGCAATGAAAGGAGAACCGGCTGCATTTGTTCTCCTTGTTGTCTGTGCCACGTGGCCTTTCCACTTTCCCTACCCCGACATCCTGAGTTCTGGATATCTTCGGAAGCTAAGTGACCAAACAGTGACCAGTGGCGGGAGGGGAAGACTGTGCTGAATCCAGTGGGGTGGCAAAGCAGGCTGAGTGCCTGTGGGTACCCAGCGGGACAGGAGGGGGGAATAGGTGGTATGGGGCGCTGCACCGTCTGTCTCTGGTTGCAATGACGGCAGCAGTGCTGCAGGCATCGCGACATTGAAACGGGGCTGTACGTAGCTTTTGGGGATCTGTTGTAACTTCGAATGACCTCCAGGAAACCTATACTTAACTGCTACATGCCCCTCTCTTGCTTTAGAACAACGATCCTCAAACAGTGGGCCATGGCCCACTACTGGGCCACGGCCTATTCACAACCAGGCCGCGTGCGTGAGTGGCAGGCTGGCGCATGCACACGCACTCACATCCCACTCACACTCATGGGGGGGGGCAGGGCACGCACCTGCCACTCACACAAAACCATTCCCTCTCCCCCTCACCGCCCCCACATTAGGCTAAAGATTGGGGAATGCTGCTGTAGGAGATTGTTTGCAGCCCGGTTCCTGATATAAATTGTGATATTATATAAGTGAAACATCTAGGTTACACAAGACTTTAGAAACCACAGCTATGTGACCAATTGTAAAATACCTCAGACAGCCTCTGTGTTCATTACTGCAACAGAAATGGACTTGGCTCATGAGATGGGAAAAAAAATAAAAATCCAGTCCATTCCTACTCTTTGACACCTTCACAGGACAACCTTAATTTTGGGTCTGTGCTGATGTCTTTCATAAATCATTTAACAATTTTAAATAATAAATAATAATTTAAGAAATAATGATTTAAATACTAAACAATAATTAAATAATAAACAATAATTTCATTTACATTTGTTTGTTTGTTTGTTTGTTTATGAATGAATGAATGAATGAATGAATGCCACAGCCCGGAAAATTTATGCTCCCTAATCTACAGCAATGAATACTTCATGTAAGGTTCATTAATTATATTACAATTAAAATATGTTATTATACAATATTAATACTTCTATTTTAATATACCTAACATAGTAGGAGGTCCACAGGCCCATGTCCCCATGGGCGAGTGTAGGTGCATCCCGTTTCCAATCTGACGTAACTTGGCTTGATTTTCCTCTTTTAAAGACAAATAATCACATTTCTAAATGTGAAATTTGCATCATTTTTCTTCAGTGCCATTTTCTGTTTTATCGCATCTTTGATCTCATCCAACAGTTTTTCTGCTGCTTTCAGTCCAGAGGAATGAAGAATTGCCTTATCTTCTTTGACCCACTTCATAACGTACTCGACTTAAAACAGTTCATTTAGTGACCGTTCAAAGTTACAACAGCACTGAAAAAAAGCTATTTATGACCATTTTTCAGAGTTATGACCATTGCAGCATCTCCATGGTCATGTGATCAAAATTCAGACGCTTGACAACTGGTTCATGCTTATGACCACTGCTGTGTCCCAAGGTCACATCATCCCCTTTTGCGACCTTCTGGCAAGCCAAGTCAATGGGGGGGAAGCTGGATTCACTTAGCAACCGGGTTACTAATTTATGAATTGCAGTGATTCACTTAACAACTGTGGCAAGAAAGTTTGTAAAGTGGGACAAAACTCACTTAATAACAGAAATTTTGGCCACCTTTGTGGTCGTAAGTCGAGGACTATCAGTAGTTTTGTTCACTCTGTTAGCAATTTTCTTTCCTTTTGATTTCTTAATTCAAATTATGATGAGGACCCAGATTGTGGAGGCAATAAACTGACTTTGTATAAAATATACAGAAGTATGAAGGCTATTGCTTAACACATTGTAAGCCGCCCTGAGTCTCCGGAGAAGGGCGGCATATAAATCAAATAATAAAAAAAAAGTTCTTCCCTAAAACAATTCTGTGGCAGTCTATTCTCGCTTACCTAATGCTCTCTGTCTACCGTTCTTCATTCAATCCCATATCTCAAAGGCTGTCCTTTGCACCACATTATAAAAAGTTCTTCTCTTAAACCGAAACATTTTAATTCCTAATCCCTTGTGTTTTTCAAGTCTCTTTCCTCTTTACATAGAAATGTGTCCCACCCTTTTTATCAGCCATTCCCAGCACTAAGCACCATCGTGCAATATTGCTTTTCAATCCAAGCACCATCCTGTTCCAGGCATTCGTGTGTTGCAGCTGCCCCTTTCCTTCCTGAAAATTTGCATCTCTTTATGTAGCATTTGAACAACCGCCCCCCCCCACCCAACACCCATCCCAGGCCTGACAAAAAGAAGCTGTCAGCTTTGGAAGCCATATTAGGCCGGGAGCTTCCATGCTGCCACCTTCTCCTGTGTGGGAAAGTAGGAGGGGGGATTTAGTAGAGGGGTTGTCTGTAGACATAATAGCATTCTTCCTGTCGGTCAAGGTCAGGGCGATCCTGCATCTGGAGAAGGAGTGATCGGAGTGCTGTCTCGAGATGGGACGGATGGTGATTGGAGCGTGTGATGGACTGAGGAGTGAGGGGATGGTTTTGGGGGTTTTGATTCACTGAGGGAAAACCCGGAACTCTCAAATTCGGGTTTTCCCAGATGTGCCAGTTTACCTATTCTAGTAAATGGAACTTTGAAAAATGATTGCTTCAGAGTCTTTACTTGGAGTCGGGGGGGGGGGGTCTGGAATGCTGACATAAGCCTTGTCAGTACACTGTAAGTAGTCCCTGGTTAACCACCTTTTATGGAACCACCATGTGAAGGCGCTGAAGGAATGGTAGTTAAAGCCAGTCTTCATAGCTACGGCTGTTACAGAATTCAGATTTAATCAGAATTCAGGCGCTTGGCAGCCTACCCACCTCTACAATCCCAGCTATATACTTCAACTTCCTTCGGCCATCTCCCACCCACCCCCACTCTTAACTTTCAGCCAGTATCACCACTACCCACCATTCCAAGCTAACCTTTGCTATCTTCTTCCTACTGGCTGAACAGGTAGCTCTTCTGGGAAAGAAGGGGGAAGCCAGGTGGTGGAGCAGAGGTAGCCAAAAGGGCAGAGGTGGTGGCAGGTGAATAAGTGGAGGGAGCTAAAGAGGAGGTGAGCCTGGCAGGCCAGGAGAAGTGGGAGATGGTGGCCCTATTGACAGCACAGTCCTGCGATTGCCAGAATTTCCATCATTAAGTATTGTGGTTGTGTGTTGTTTCACCTAACAGCTGCTTTCCTTGGTACAGGTAGTCCTTGACTTACAACCACAAATGAGCCCAGAATTTATATTGCTGAGTGAGAAATTTGTCATTTTACGACTTTTCTTGCCATGTTAAGTGGATGGCTACAGTTGTTAAATTAGTAACATGGTTGTTAAGTGAATCTGGCTTCCCCATTGCTGGTCAGGTCGCAAAAGGGGACTGCATGAGCCCGGGACACTGCAACCGTCATATGTATGAGTCAATTGCCAAATGTCTGAATTCTGATCACATGACCATTGGAGATCCTGCAATGGTCGTAAGTGTGAAAAATGGTCATAAGTCACTTTTTTTCGGTGCCGTTGTCATTAAATGAACTGTTGTAAGTCGAGGACTACCCATAATGGAAATTTCAGTCCCCGCTTGGATCGTTAACCAAGGACTACCTGTACCTGGATAAAATCAGCTGCCTGGTGATTGGCCTTGTTCCCTGTCCGGTACACCTGAGGCATGCCCCGGGGGTGCAGAGCCGCAACCTGCCTCCCCTTTCTTAGCTGTATAGATCAGCAGAGGAATGCCAGCTGTGCCAGGTGAACTGGGCTCTCTGTGTGCTCCAGGCTATCCCCACTTGCCCTAATCCAGTGAGGCAAAGGGAGGTACTTCCTGGGACACTTTCAAGCCCCCCTCCGAGTCTTACCCGTACAGAGGAAGCCAGGCAACCCTCCGTAGACCAATTCATCGTTGTCAGGCAACACAAAGGGACACCTAGTCTCCACCTCCAGGCAGTATTGCTTGCATGGAATCCGGTGCTGGCACTGTAGTTGGGTCACATCAAAATACTCAGAGCACAGCCAAGCCTTGTAGACAGCCTACATGAAAGGAACAAGAGTCCAGAGGCAATAATACAGTAGCAAAAACACCCCCCCCCTCCAAGAATCTGAATGGTGTCTGTTGGGATATGTGGGTAGTCCTCGACTTACAATAGCTCAATTAGTGACCGTTACAATGGCACTGAAAAAAGTGACTTATGAGCGATTTTCACACTTACGACCATTGCAGCATCCCCGTGGTCACGTGATCAAAATTCAGCCGCTTGGCAACTGACTCATATTTATGACGGTTGCAGTGTCCCAGGGTCAAGTGATCAGCTTTTGCGACCTTCTGACGAGTAAAGTCAATGGGGAAGCCAGATTCACTTAACAAACATATTACTAATGAATGCAGTGATTCACTTCACAGCTGTGGCAAGAAAAGTGGGGCAAAACTCACTTAACAGCTTAGCAACAGAAATTTTGGGCTCCATTATGGTCGTAAGTCGAGGACTACCTGTAGCCACGGACAACCTTAATTGTACATTGCCTTGCACGACTTTGCTGAACTGTACGTAAGATAAGATAGATTGTTGGAAAATAATGTATCTTCAGCGAAAATTCTCTGTTTCTACCTCGTTTCCCCCAAAATAAGACATCCCCTGATAATAAGCCCAATCGGGCTTTTGAGCGCATGGCAATAAGGCCAAGCACTTATTTCAGGGTCCAAAAAAAAATATAAGACAGGGTCTTACTTTCGGGGAAACACGGTATAAGAAGAAACTCATGAATCCTGTGTAGGAAGCCATTCTTTCCAAGCCCAGGTATGTCAGGCTGAGTAATTTGTGGGGACACTGGAATTTACTTTAAGAGGAAATTATTGGGAGAAAGATAATCAGCACTGCTTAAGTTTGTCACGTGAGTACATGAAGTTGCTCACTTACTGGCCATTCCTCCAAGCGGCTACAGAAGGGAAATGAGATTTGTAGAAAGTACATTTGTACAAATGTATTTTTGTACATTGTAAATTGCATTTGTACAAATCCAGAGTCTGGATTTGTAGAAAGTTAAAACTCAAAAGTTACATAAAAGAGTTTTCAAAGCGATGAGACTTGACATACAACACAAAGCAAAAACAACAATACTGACTTTGGTTTATTGTCATCATCTTATTTCATAAGAATCTGTTGTAAGAGAACTGCACCATTAGTTGTAAGTCATTTTCTAGTCCCGTGACAAGAGAGCCAGAGACAGACGGGATATTTCCTTCAGCAAATCTACATTTCTCTCTAATTTCAGCGGAAAGATGCATTTGTTCTATCCTGTCTTTTGCTGAGAAGCTCAAAATGGCGCACAACAAATACCACGCCATCCCCACTCCCACCAAACTAAGTTAAGTTGGGCTCCCACCAATTTAAGTTGGGCTGGCAGAGAACTGCCTCAAGGCCTCCCAGGGAGCTTCCAGGGCTGAGGTGGGGACGGGAGGGGGACCAAACCTGGCTCTCTTTGCTACTAGCCCAGTCCCTTCACCACAGAGTAACCCTGGCTGTCGCTGCCGCTCTTGCAAGACAACTCTGAGTGAGAGTCCTGCCTCTCACCTCCTCCAGTCCACAGCTACAGCCAGCTACAGAGGTCTTCCCCATCTCCATGTTTCTGCTTTCAGGCAACCCTGCTGCTCTCTGGTCATCAATGACTTTCCTCTGTGGCTATTTGGATTGGCCTGATCCCAGGCTACTGGAAACAACAGTTTCCAGTAGCCTGGGTACAAGAGCCCTGGTAGCGCAGCAGACTAAAGCACTGTTATTAACATTAGCTGCCTGCAATTACTGCAAGTTCAAATCTCACCAGGCTCAAGGTTGACTCAGCCTTCCATCCTTTCTAAGGTAGGTGAAATGAGGACCCAGTTTGTGGGGGCAATAAGCTGACTTTGTATAAATATACAAAAGGATGAAGGCTATTGCTTAACGCATTGTAAGCCCCCCTGAGTCTCCGGAGAAGGGCGGCATATAAATCAAATTAAAAAAACAACAACAGTAGACCAGGACCTCTATAAAATGACCTGCCTCATTGACCTATGTGGAAAGAAATGTGCTGGCTGGCAAGTTACTCTGTGATATGTGTAGCTGGGTCATTTTTTTCTATGTGGGTCAGCTGTACAAGTTCTACAAACTTCACAGAACAAGCAATATCTGTCCTAACAGATGGTTAACCTCCTGCCTTGATCATCAATTAAAGCTTTCCTGTTTCCCATGTTAAAGCCAGCAACTGGATATTTTTTCAGCTGTCAAAAAATCCATCATTTACTTCTTATATTGTCCCACATTGCAATTATCTAGTTAGTACATACCACCTACTGGTCTCCTGACCCAGATAGGAGACCAGCTTTCAGGAGAAAGCAAATTATATTAACATACTAATGGACTAGTGCAGGGACTCAAGGACGCCACCCCCCACCCCACCCCTGCCCCACTGCTGCCAGAAAAGTTAGGGACTGCTGATTTAGACCCCTCCTCGCCTTTTAGCCAGGAGTCAATCTTGAAAAGCATGGCTGGGTGATTTGCAACATCCAGGAAAGTGCAGACAGCTACAAATTGGCCACATTCACATTACTCCACCCACCCACCCCTGACACACAGACACCAATCCCTGGCTGAAGATTTGAAAATACCACTAAAATACTAACTGCTTTTCAAGATTGTATACAGTGCTCCACGGTACAAAAATGAAACCTCTGCAAGAAAACAAGCCAGCTCAGAGAGCACCAAGGACCACTGATATAAAATTTACCAAATGCTCTTGTATGTTGGATTTGCAAATGTTGCGCCAGTGTTTGAGGGGTTGCTGAGCACCACAATAAACATAAAAAGAAAAAGAAGGAAAGAGAGAACTCAAAACAATGGAACTGATCCCCTAGGAAGATGAATTTTTATTAGTCTGCAAAAAGTATTAGATTATAAATGTAAAATTTCTAGTGAGGGAAAGGCCCAAAGGGTTGTGGAATCAGGAACCTGATTTGTGGGTGTATTCTCATCACTCGTTCAATCATAGTTTCGTGTGAATCCCAGAAAACTGAGAAAGTTTTTTGTTTAGGAGGGAACAATCTGGTTGACCACAAAGATTTGTGCTTTACAAAAACAAAAGCTCCTTTTCTTCTCTTTTTTGATCTTTCCTCCTACCCTATACAGGTAGTGCTTGATGTACAACCACAATTGAGCCCAAAATTTTAATGTTGCTAAGACATTTATTAAGTGAGTTTTGCCCCATTTTATGACCTTTCTTGCCACAGTTGTTAAGTGAATCACTGCAGTTGATAAGTTAGTACTATGGTTGTTAAGTGAATCTGGCTTCCCCGTTGATTTTGCTTGTCAGAAGATTGCAAAAGATGATCGTGTGACCTTGGGACACAGCCACGGTCATAAGTATGAGTCAGTTGCCAAGCATCTGACTTGTGATCACATGGTCATGGGGATGCTACAAAGGTTGTAAGTGTGAAAAATGGTCATAAGTCACTTTATTCAGTGCCATTGTAATTTTGAATGGTCACTAAACGAACAGTTTTAAGTTGAGAACTACCTGTACTCCAAGAATTCTGCTGTACGAATTGTAAAGGAAGTGTAATTGGAGCCAATTGAGTAGAGGAGTAGACAAGTGGTATGCCCTGATAAGAAACACTCAAGTCATTCAAACGTGTGTATGTTAAATGTACTTTATCTTAAATATAAATGACTAAATCATGTGTGCTAATGTATATTGACTAGCCAATGAATACATATATGGAAATGATATATAAACCTATATTTCTTTATCTAGGATAACTTTTGCATTAGGGAAATGTCCCAATGATCATTAAATAAAAAATTAGTTTCTTTTGGTTACACTCCAACATAAAATATAAAAAAAGAAAATTACACCAATTTCAATAATTTCACTGTAACCTGTAAGTAATAAAGAAATAACTAGAAGTTAGAATTACTAACATGATCTATAAAATTACAACCTTAAAATATCTCTATAAAAGTCCTTAATATTAATACTAAAACTAAAGCCTAAAATAAGGCTTCAAAGGGCAAAAAAAAGATGTAAAAACAGATAAAAGATTAGAAAAATAAAAGAATATAATTTTGAAGAATTTGAAGGAGCAGCTATAAGGATGAAAGGATAAAGAGAAGCAAGAGAGATCTGGTGTGATGTATTAGTAGACAGTTAAAGACAGTTGTTGTTTTTTTTAAATTTGATTTATATGCCGCCCTTCTCTGGAGACTCAGGGCGGCTTACAATGCATTAAGCAATAGCCTTCATACTTTTGTATATTTTATACAAAGTCATCTTATTGCCTCCACAATCTGGGTCCTCATTTTACCTACCTTAGAAAGGATGGAAGGCTGAGTCAACCTTGAGCCTAGTGAGATTCGAACTTACAGTAATTGCAGACAGCTGGTGTTAATCACAATGCTATTAGTCTGCTGAGCCACCAGTATTGAAAGTATTAAAGAGTGATCAAGAGGATCAATAAAGTGGGAGAATTAATTAGCGGGCCATCCTGTAGGCAGACCCACTATTATAAGTAAATAGATGAGAAAACATAAATTATCTGGCTGTTGAATTCAGTAACAGCACTATTTGATGGAAGTTACACATATGTAAGAATAAATGAAATGCTTAGTAAATGATTCAACACTGAGGAGAACGTGTGAGGTCAGCTCAATTGCTTAATGCACTTATTGATCACTATATAATGAATGCTTGTGAAGAAGTTAAAAGGGTATTGATTGGGACATAAATTTGCACAATAAGATATTCTTTGTTGCTTGACAACCTGAATGATTTGTAATGAATGTTAGACAAACCGTGTGATGCAACGAGGCATATGAATAAGCAAATAAGAAAATTAATGTATCAGGGACGAAATCAATTCTGATTGACTGGAGAAGTGAGGTGAAAGGTTGCTGATAAATTAGATTTCTGTAACTGGGTGTAATGTTTAGTAAGAATGGGATAATTAATACAGAAACTTTTAAGTTCTGCAAATGCTGATAGGAAAATTGGATAGCCAGCTGTAA